TCATTCATTCATTCATTCATTCATTCATTCATTCATTCATTCATTCAGTCATTCATTCAACCTCTATTTATACAGGTTAGTTTATGTTTTTGGTTTTGGAGCCATCTAATGATGACCTACTCATTTTGCTTTTCGAAGCCATTTCTCTCTTCTGTCACTTTTCGTCACCTCTGACAACAGACGCCATCTTTTCTTTTTCTTAGATACTGGCGGGGATGAACGTGCACCCAGCTGAGTTCGACGGCCTCAAGCAGGAGTTCAACGTCAAAGGCTACCCTACCTTCTGCTACTTCGAGTGAGTCGAGTCGTTTTATCAGCATCAATTTAGGCTTCACTCTCATTTCCAAGTTTAAGAATATCAGAGAGTAACTTCTACAAATAGGAAATCTAGCAAAGATCTCCTAAACGCCAACTGACAGGAAGGTAAGAGACGTACAGAATGCAAATGTGTTTCACAGCGGGTAATGCTCTCTGTAGTGAAAGGTTTGCAGGAACTTCAGGATCCACTTTCAGAATTGTAAAGTGACAGGAGGGGGTGGATGTAGCTGTATGCCACTGAGGGGAGAATAAAACATTCACTTGGCTCCATGGTTAGCAATGAAGTGGACTGACGAGTTTATTAATACAAAAAGATCATCAGTCTATTTTTAATCACAGATTCAACAAATGAGCCAAAAATGTTCCTAGTTGCTGTGATTCTAGTTTTAGTCCTGTTGCAGCCCTAATCGCAATTAGTACCAAGATCTGACCAGTACATGGTAATACTTAAGGCCTGCAAGTATGGCAGAGGAAAATACTCAGACATGTTCATCTGTAGGGGGCGATTTAATTGGGACTTTGCATTTGATCATAAAACTTCTAAACCATAAGTCACGAAGTGTTACGGCTTATATCTCTACGTTCCCTGGTCGTTACCGAGTCACATGGTATAAGCCACACCCATTTCCACCAAAAAAAAAATTCTATACCGCTAAGTTTGAGAAGCCTACTTCTGACTGGTTTTCTAAGGTTTTGAGTTTGATCACTGTAAAACTCCCCATCTAAAATCTAGATGTAATTTGGATTATAGGTTTCCAAGGAAACGTAACTAAAAAGGAAAAGAAAAATGTAAATAAGAAGTAAAGGTTATTCCTTACACCTCAAGGATAATATTTTACAAGTGAAGTGGGCGTGGCCTATAGCATCTCAAAGAAAACTTTTCACAAAGTCAGTCGTGGAGCCTGAACTGTCTGAGATTTTGAGTTTTTCAAAGGAAAAACAAAGTTTGATATTTATAAAGTGTGCTAATATTTCCAGACAAGAGTTATAAAGAGTTTACCAAAGCTTCCTAAAGCTTTTTAAAAAAAATGACAGAGGGAGGCGTTACAAAGTTCTGAAGCCGTACTTAGGTTTGCATCTTTTTGCTTTTATGGTACCTTTTAAGGTAACTTATATTTATAATATATCTCATTACCGATGTTATGAATTGCAACAATGAACAAATGTTGAAATTTGCTTTGATATTTATAATAAAGTTTTAATGACTGAATACATTTGAAACTATGTTTTTGTTTGTCCTAACCCACAGCCTGTAAAAAGTCAAACGTCTCTCTCAAACTTTCTGCTACAACTCCTTCAGTCCATATGATGGTTGGTGCCGTCACTGAGCTGTGTGTAGTTCACTGAAGCCTCTTGACCAGGCAGTGCGTCTACTGTAACAAGCTCACATCTTCAAGCTGTGGGGGCTGAGACTGATGCTGTTTGTTGACGCAGACTGCAAAGTGCACTGCCCTATATTTTACAGATTAACTTCTGTTTTTTGCTACTTGCAGTGGTTTCCAACCCTGGCCCTCGAGGAACACCATCCTGCATGGTTGAATTGTTTCCTTCTCAAGTTCTGCAGAAGCTAATCACCCATTCATTCAAACCAGGTGTGTCAAAGCAGGGAAACAACTAAAGCATGCAGGATGGTGTTCCTCAAGGACTATGTTTGGGAACCACTGGTTTATATATTTTTTGTGCTTTAGTAAACGCTACGCATGAAAAGAAAAGAAAGGATGATATATACAATGAAAGGACAGCTGAGGGTCAACTTAAGTACACTGCAGTGAGGAAGTCTTTAGGCTTCATGCCACAGAACTTTTACATTACCGGGATGCTAGTGAGCTCTGTTTCTTATTTCTTGTATGCTCCTGCTCCGTCAGCCTCGTTTCCACATTAAATACTCTTTCATTCCAGTCTGGCCTTTTAATTAGGCTTTGACTGATTAGGTGTCTCTGTGGTTCAGAGCAGTGTGTGCTCTTGTCCTCTTCCTGTACACCTGCACTTTTCTCTTTGTGTACTGTGCATATGCGGGTACACATGCGCACTTGTGTGTTTGTGTGAGCCAAAGCCAGTCTGTTAGCTGGGAGTGCATTAGTGTCAGCGCGGAGCTAGCTAATGACCGTCTAAGCCCGCTGGCTGCAGTAATGAACCCCTCACTGATAAACAGCCGCTAATCACTGCGGGGTGAATCAGCATCAACACCTTCAGCTATCTCTCCAGTGCACCTGCCGTAAGACCAACTTTTCAAGGTCCTTCAGGGTTTCAGTCCTGCTGCTTAATAAAATGTACTACAGAAGAGTTCAGCTCAGCTTAACAATCAGAAGAAAAAAGTACCTCAACCTCTTTAGTCTTGCTTCGTCCTTCAACAAAATAAAAAAAGTCTCTTTTGCAAGTTTCTTTAACTGCAGAAATAAAACCAGGGAACAAAGATTTGACCATAAACCTCACCGGTTTCATTCCAAGCAGCCACTCTGTGCTGTAGACGTTATAAAGTGCAAGTTGTAAGCTCCGGTGTGTGTAACCATCCGGTCCGTCTCTGAGGCTTTGATTGCAGTCGTCACCACCATCTGTGTTTGTTGAAGTGCAGCTGCTGACACGGACAGAGAGAAACTTGGAATTGAGTCTGTGAAGCTGGGGTGGTGCGTGTTTCTCAGTTTAACTGCATCACAACGTTAAGCTCAACGTGTAAGGTTTCATCTTTTAAATTCAACTCTTGAAAATATAAAACCCGACTGTAGAAGAGGTAAAAGCAATAACAAGGTTCCCAGCTTTCTGGATCCGTCCGTGCACAGAACATGTAGTGCCTTCAATTTAAACTACTTATGTTACAGCAACGAACCACGGCAAACGTTTGTCAAATGGCTGATGATTTTTCTTTAAAACCGAGAACTGCAGGCCATAACTCTCTCAGCTGCTGACCGATGGTTTGAACATCATTCTTTTCTGTTGTTTCTGTTTTGTAGGAAAGGAAAGTTCCTTCACCACTACGAAAACTATGGTGCCACCGCCAAGGATATAACCGACTGGCTGAAGAAGTAAGTATGGCACAGCGGTGGCAGAAGACTTGTTAAAATGTTGACTTCAGACGTGAGGCGTTCATGTGTTCCAGATTTAAACTTTACCTCTCATCTTAAATTTCTGACCCCTTTTAGATTTATTGTCCCCCATTGTGGAGTGAAGAGGGGCGGTTGAAAACACCCTCCATGCGTCCAGCCGTGCATGTTGTGAGCATCATAACATTAAAAATAACTGCGGCACCCACTTCCATCTTGGTGTGTGGCTGCATCTAGGCGTAAGAAAGGTTCCTTTCAAAAACTGGGTTGCCAAGTCAAAATCCAAGATGGCCACCACCACGTAATATGTAATTACACCACCCCCTTCATTTGAAGAAACCATGCTTTCTAATTTTTATTTAGCTTAAAATATAATTTCCTCAAATGGTTGAAGTGGACAGAGATTAATCCATGGTGGTCAAGGGCACCATTGCCCACCCCCTAGCTCCACCATTGCACCTGGTGGTGGATAAATTGCTCCCTCCTCTCGCCAGGATGTGTCACTTTGCGTCGCCTCGCACAAACAAACAAAAACTATCTGTTCTTCTTCAGTGTAACTCCAACGAACTTGAATATCTTGTGCCCAAAACATTAAGGTTTACTTCAATTCCCCGTTCAAGTCCCGTCCAGAAAAACATCTCAAAACTACAAACGTTCACTGTTCAATTCTGTGATGGGGGGTGTTACACCCCCGTGAACAGGGGAGAAAGAATCACAAGAGTGATTTTAAGTTGCTTCCTCTCTCAGCACTTTAATGGAAAGAACATAATACATGTTGCTCAATGTCATAAAGTGGAGAGAAAACTAATTAATAAAGCAAAATATTAATAAACTGTCAAATATCAGTGCTTTCACACATTTCTGTACTTCTGTAGCTTCTGCCGTTAGCTCAACAGCCGTTATCTAATACACAACTGGCGCGCAGAAAAGTTGTCTAAAAACTCATGAAACAAGAAATCACTTCTAAAGTTCATAAAAATAATACATGATTACCTACAGAATCTAATTAATAAACCAAAATAAGAAGATATAGCTCAATATCTGCGTTATAACACGTTTCCTTACAAAATAAAATATAATAATATAATTTCCCTCTGGGATTAATAAAGTATTTTTGAACTGAATTGAAAAAACGACAGCAGAACTTTTTAGCTTCTACCGTTAGCTTAACAGACATTACCTAATACACCGCAAACGCACAGAAATGCCATACCAAACCACTCATAAAACTAAAAAAAAATGCTTAAAGTTTATAAAATAATAAATAATTGTCTCTAAAATGGCTTAACAATATACAGGATACAAATATAATTTAAATCAGCATTACCTGTAAATAGGGGAGAAAGAATCACGAGAGATTTTAAGTTTCTTCCTCTCAGCTGTTTGATGGAATGAGGAGCGCGCCACCGCCCCCTGGTGGTGGATGTGGTACTACAGGGCAATCCCAGAAAACGTTACTAGCCGTTTACTGGTGCATGGATAGCAGTTTCCTTAAATAAAATAATACAAACATTATTGCAACATGAAAACTAATTTTAAATTGTTTATAGGCTTATATGGAATATGAATTAATATTTATACTAAACCTTTTGAATGTTATGAAATCATAAGTTCTTCAACTTGTCACAGGGACACCGGCGCACCACTTGTTAGCCCACGAAACCTGTTCAGAACCGTGAAAAGAAAGAAGAAATATAAGA